TTTATATATATATATATATATATATATATATATATATATATAAATGAATTTTTCATAATTCATTTTAAATCAAATCACCTCTATTATTGGGATTTAAGTCCCTTGAATATTACTTAATCCATTAGAAAGGAGAATAATTTTTATTCAATCCCTTCCCAAGGCAAAAACAGAGGGCAAAGGAAACATATTTGCCAATGCTTCTCTCAAATTCCACCCCACATCATATGTGCTTCTACCAATTCTATGAAACCAAAATTGAAAGCTGATAAAACATAATTTAATTGCCTATAAAAAGATTCATGATTTTACCTGGCCATGGACAGGGCTTTCCGTTCAACCTCTAGCTCATATTGTAAACGAGCAATCTCCTTGTTTTCAACTTCTGCTTGTTCCCGAAGCTTGCTAATCCTCTCCTTTTCATGTGATATTTCTACCTTGTCATTCATAAGGCTTTGTAATTGATCCTCAACCTCGTGCCTCAACTTTGAAAAAACCTCCATTTCTGATTCAATACTAGCACGTTCCTTCATCAGTGCAAGGTTTTCTTCTTCTCTCTCAGCTCTTAACCTTTCTAACTCAAATCTTGCCTCCTCAGCCATTCTTTCAACAGCACTGATTTTTTCCCTCTCTATGAATAGCTCCTGCTCAAAACTTGCATTGATATCCTTCTCTACTTGAGCTACTAAAGCACTATGTGCAGCAACAGCATTTTCAGCAATAGATTCTGCTTCGATGCGTGCAAGCTCTTCACTAACTATATCAGAAGCATCTCCAGTAGCTATAGCCATAGCTGCTTGGGCCTTTGTTACTGGTTTATCTGGCTGGAACAATCTGGTATAACCTTGAATATCCCACCCCCATACCCACCCCAAAAATAGAAGAACCAGTGAAAACTGAAAACAAAAGCAGCTTCGAAAAAACTGGAAGAAAACATACAATAAAGAAATTATCATGAAAACAAATAAAAATTTACCATCATCACAGGATTAAATATCATTTTAGAATTACAAAGAGAATATGACTTACCAAATGCAAGAGCTATTATTCCATTCTCCCCAGCAGATAGGTCAGCTACTAGAGCAGGGCATGCATTAGGATGTATCTTATCAGTGTCTATAAACCCAGAAACTTGGTACAGCATCTGCCCATCAGTCATTGGAATTGATAAACACAATAATCAGTTCAATGCAGGTGGAATAAGTAACTTAAACATATCAGAAAGAAACAAGTTGAGCAACCTTGTGGTCAGCTTCTGGAAGCTGTCTTTTCTCCAGGGCCATTTTCCAACTGACAAGATCTTGACGTGATAAGGGGCTGAAAAAAAGTAATATAGGAGACAAGGGAGATCACTACTGTAGCCTATGCCATACGAAGTTACAAGCACATCTAAAACAGAAGGCAATGTAACTTGCACTATCTAAGAAAAAATGAGAATAAATGTTGTGTATTAAAAACAAGGAGAATTACAATATTTTTGAACAACGACTGTACAGCAGCAGAGGGTGAGAAAAAAATGTAACCAAAAATTAGATATCAAATCCAGAAGAAGAGAAAAAAAATACCTTTCAGGGGAGAAGTAAAACGGGCTATCATCTTCTTCAGCAGACAATTGTATATCACGTCTTGAAAGCCTGCTTTCAATAAGTCCAGCTTCCGCCAATCCTGAAAATGAATATTATTAGACATGATATGGATATAGAAACAAGTTGTATTATTAAAACATTGTTATCACGCCCTGTTCTGACCTTGAATGGAAGAAAAATCAGTGTCCTCAGGGGTTACATCATCAAATGCAAGCTCAGTAACATTGTCTATGTACATGGCAGGATACACTTTTGAAACTGTGCTCCTAACAGTATCCAGAGAGGCACATGTAATACCATATATTACATATGTAACAAATAGATAACCTTTTTTATATATTTGTTATTTGCATCACATGTGGAAAGAAGAATAAACTACTACCTTGAAAGAGCACTGCTAGCAGTCACCAACCAACGTGCATATTCACGACGGGTACATAAATCAGTAGGTTGAACATCTGGCTCAATAACCTGAGGATGAAACAATTTCCAAGTGAGCAATAACAACCTTTCCTTATGATCGAAATAACTTTAATTAACAAATATACACACTAAATCAGAGATGTTTATGAAGAATATGTTTTCATGTCTATTTTTCAGTAGTTCTTTAACTTTATAAATTTTGTTTTGCAACTAGTACTTCACCAGGTATCTCTTCAATGGGAACAAGCATAAAGCTTACAGAAATTATCAATTTCAGTTGCTTTCTAGTTTCTTCGACATTAAGATAGATTGTTCCTTCCAGCCAAAGTTAGAGTATCGCTTAGTAATACATCACAATGAATCAACATAGCTGAAATTTAACCTAGTACACCCATGGTAAATTTAAGGATTTTGAATTTGGGTATATTTTGTTCCCAAGTTTTATTGAAAAAAATTGGATGAAAATGAATTTATAGTTTCTTTTTTGACTGCACATTATGTGTAAGTAATAAGGGGTGGGGGGGTTGAGCCTAGGTGCAACAGTAAGGTTCCCATCTAGTGACCTTGATGAGATCATTGGTTTCCCATCCTAGAAACAGCCTCTCCCTTTAAATGGGTAAGACTACGTACATATACCCTTCTCAGACCCCATTAGGTGGGAGTCTTGGGTATTGGCTCACTTTTTTTTTATGTGTAATTAAATTTTTCTGAATAGATTTAAGAAACAACCAGTGTAAAAAATTTATTAAAAAAAGAACTAGAATTAACACCTTGAAACATGTGAATAAGAACAAATAACTACCTTTAAAACTTGCAATGCAGCAAGTGCTTGCCCCTGAACCTGATCAACAGCAGCAGGAACCAAAACCTTTCCAGGAAGCACTTGTACAGCTGCTGAAAATACTGATGGAGCAGGA